TGTGTTATTGCTCAGTTCTTATCACTGTAATTTCAATGGTATGGAACTGCTATCTGCACATCTGTTTGAGTGCGTCACACACTCACGCTCGTCACGTCTCAAATTTTTTATTCAGACAAATATGTTTGATGTAGACGTCATTGCAAAGTGCTTGTAAGTCAAACTGTACTGAGAGGCTTTGCTTGTGTTTTACTGCCATCTCGTGGACAGACTGTGCACTATCAAGTCGCAACGTGGATCCGCTAGAGGGCGCACACTCACACTAAATTACATTATGACAACTAAGAAGGTTATTTCTGCTGTCCAAAATTTAACTTTTTTATGTAGTAGTGGATAATGTAAAGTAATATTCAAATATACATATTATCTGCAATATCTAACAAATATGTTGGAAGTGTAGTGATAGTATAGCTTGGAAAATAATTGGCTTATTACATAAAAAAAAAAATTGCAGTCAGTTTTAAACTATATGCATATAGTTTCAAATGTATAAAAGATATGGAGTATGGTTTGGAATTGGCATGGAATATGTGTGCCGATTTCTTGATTGTGCATTTCAAATGAACCCAGAAAGTCACAAACGTTACAAGTTGCTCTGAACACGTTGGGGGCACTAATGTATTGAGTCACTCAAAACAGAAAACATGCAATGACATATATTTTATAACATCCAAGAAGAGTATTGTATTCTGAATCCTGTCTAGCTAATTTGCATATATTTATAGTTTAATGGATTAAAACAATTTTATTTTTTATTTTCTTATTGCACATTATAAATTGGGTAAAATGCATCCATGTACCACTAAAAAAATATGTTCTTGTATCAAGGGAAGGGTTTGAAGCCTACATTTTATAATCAAATGTGTTAGAATGTTGTAAAGAAACTGTTTTCTGAAATAATTTGCACCTAAATGTAATAAAGTCAAAGTAGAAGTATGACTCACCCTGCACATGGACTATTCCAATCACTCCCCTCAGGCAGGAGGCTCCGGTCCATCCGGGCCAGAACCTCCTGCCATAAGAACAGTTTCTTCCCCCTCGGCTCTTGACCGCGGTAAAGAGGTCCGGCTTTCCAGAACCAGCGGTAAAGAGGTCCGCACGTAAAAAGAGGGGTGTCACATTATGCTGTTACTTACGGTAACACAGGAAAGCGAAGCCGCGGGGATGGGCCGCCACAATGCATTTTTTAACATGATTCTTTTTTTATACATAAAAAACCTTAGAAAAAGCTTTCACTGCACACTTGTTCACTGTGATGCCCTCTATTATTGTGCAAAGTCACATTCACTTTTACTGTAGAAATTCCAAGAAAATGGGGGTAAAGTGTGCAATAATGATCCAAAATGCACTTTTTAACCTGGATTTTAAAAAAAGTAAAAAACCTTAGAAAAAGCTTTCACCGCACACTTGTTCACTGTGATGCCCTCTATTATTGTGCAAAGTCACATTCACTTTTACTGTGGAAATTCCAAGAAAATAGGGGTCAAAGTGTGCAAAAATGATCCAAAATGCACTTTTTAACCTGGATTATAAAAAAAAGTAAAAAACCTTAGAAAAAGCTTTCACTGCACACTTGTTCACTGTGATGCCCTCTACTATTGTGCAAAGTCACATTCACTTTTACTGTGGAAATTCCAAGAAAATAGGGGTCAAAATGTGCAAAAATGATCCAAAATGCACTTTTTAACCTGGATTTTAAAAAAAAGTAAAAAACCTTACCACACTTGTTCACTGTGATGCCCTCTATTATTGTGCAAAGTCACATTCACTTTTACTGTGGAAATTCCAAGAAAATAGGGGTCAAAGTGTGCAAAAATGATCCAAAATGCACTTTTTAACCTGGATTTTAAAAAAAAGTAAAAAACCTTAGAAAAAGCTTTCACTGCACACTTGTTCACTGTGATGCCCTCTACTATTGTGCAAAGTCACATTCACTTTTACTGTGGAAATTCCAAGAAAATAGGGGTCAAATCCAGGTTTAATCCAGGTTAAAAAGTGCATTTTGGATCATTTTTGCACACTTTGACCCCTATTTTCTTGGAATTTCCACAGTAAAAGTGAATGTGACTTTGCACAATAATAGAGGGCATCACAGTGAACAAGTGTGCAGTGAAAGCTTTTCCTAAGGTTTTTTACTTTTTTTAAGAATCCAGGTTAAAAAGTGCATTTTGGATCATTTTTGCACACTTTGACCCCCATTTTCTTGGAATTTCTACAGTAAAAGTGAATGTGACTTTGCACAATAATAGAGGGCATCACAGTGAACAAATGTGGTAAGGTTTTTTACTTTTTTTTAAAATCCAGGTTAAAAAGTGCATTTTGGATCATTTTTGCACATTTTGACCCCTATTTTCTTGGAATTTCCACAGTAAAAGTGAATATGACTTTGCACAATAGTAGAGGGCATCACAGTGAACAAGTGTGCAGTGAAAGCTTTTTCTAAGGTTTTTTACTTTTTTTATAATCCAGGTTAAAAAGTGCATTTTGGATCATTATTGCACAATTTGACCCCTATTTTCTAGGAATTTCCACAGTAAAAGTGAATGTGACTTTGCACAATAATAGAGGGCATCACAGTGAACAAGTGTGCGGTGAAAGCTTTTTCTAAGGTTTTTTACTTTTTTTTAAAATCCAGGTTAAAAAGTGCATTTTGGATCATTTTTGCACACTTTGACCCCTATTTTCTTGGAATTTCCACAGTAAAAGTGAATGTGACTTTGCACAATAGTAGAGGGCATCACAGTGAACAAGTGTGCAGTGAAAGCTTTTTCTAAGGTTTTTTACTTTTTTTAAGAATCCAGGTTAAAAAGTGCATTTTGGATCATTATTGCACACTTTGACCCCTATTTTCTTGGAATTTCCACAGTAAAAGTGAATGTGACTTTGCACAATAGTAGAGGGCATCACAGTGAACAAGTGTGCAGTGAAAGCTTTTTCTAAGGTTTTTTACTTTTTTTAAGAATCCAGGTTAAAAAGTGCATTTTGGATCATTATTGCACACTTTGACCCCCATTTTCTTGGAATTTCTACAGTAAAAGTGAATGTGACTTTGCACAATAATAGAGGGCATCACAGTGAACAAGTGTGTAGTGAAAGCTTTTTCTAAGGTTTTTTATTTAAAAAAAATATAAACATGTTAAAAAATGCATTGTGGCGGCTGATCCCCGCGGCTTCTCTTTTCTGTGTTACCGTAAGTAACAGCATTAAGCGGCAACCCGCTAGAAATGTGCGGGCCTCTTTACTGTTGACTCCGTAAAGCCGGACCTCTTAACCGCGGTGGCTCTTGGACTCTTGAACACGTCATAACTTATCACTGTCCCCTGCGCTTTATGACCGTCACTTTACTGTCACTTTACTGACATTGTACTGACATTTCAACGTCATAACTGTCACCACTTTACTGCACTACTTAACTTCTTTTGTGTATACTTGGAATAACTACTTTAAACAAGTGCACTTAGCATTGAAGTTTACTTGTATTTTAAGAAATGTGTGTTGATTTTTTTATGCATTCTATTTTACTTGGCGATAAAAAGTAATTCTGATTCTGACTATCAAATACCACCAATAATAGATATACACTAATTTTACCATCAAAATAAAACTCTCCTGGCCTATGTGTGAAGCAGGGACAGTGCCCATTGGTGCGTCGCCTCATACACAGATATACATACAGTCTCCTTCCTCTTTGCAGCAGCAGATGTCCGTTAAGAGTAGTGCATTTCTCTTATCATGCCATTAACTGTAAACCCCTACACATCAACCACTCGCACGATACAAGGACATAACGTATGCGTCGGACCAGGAAATACTTGCATAAAGTCAATGTCAACATGGATACTAGTTTTCCCCATTCTTACTTGTTAACTACTCTCTCAAATGCATGTAACCGGCAAGAAATGGATGTGTAAATTGAAATATTGTTTAGTTGGTTAAGCTTCTGAGGACAGACTGGACAATGGCAGTGCATTTGAATAGATAAACACATTAAGTCAATACACATTGTTATGTTTTATGCCCTGTAATGATAAGAGATGGTTAAATGAGACTTGATCATGGAATGCCTCATAGATGCACGCCTCCACAACATCACAAATGAAAGCTGAAGGCTGAGGTCCTGTAGTTTTTGACTTGAAGGACTCACTTACTCTAATTATAAGTGGGAACACCCCCCGCACATAGAAAGATACAATTCTAAATCCTCTTTCACAGCTGGGCCAAATGTTACTTAAAATGATATTTAGGGACATGACCCATATACATCTTCATTCACTTTTAGAAACATTTTGGTTTTATAGTTATATTTACTTTAAAAAAATTAAATAAAAAACATAATATCCAGTTATACCTGATGAAACACATTAGTGTAGTGAGGAGATGCTAGTAGCTATTTTACTAGTATATGTGGATAGATAAAAACTGCCCCCTCTGGTGGTCTCTTGTTGTTCTAACCAAGTGCCTTATTGTGCACAGACATTGCAGAGGTTTGGCTAAATCCACTCATATAAGAACTAAACTGAAATATACAACACATGTACACCAACCCCCAAAACAATATAATAGTAGAGGTCCTCGCCAGGGTGTATGGTGTTGGTCATTTCCATCGACATCTTTATAAGTCTATGGTCACATCCCTGTCCTGTCCTTTCTGCTGTTATCATCTAATTTTACACACATTGTTACACTAAGGCGAAAGAGGGATTTAATCAGAAAATTCAAGTCTCTCAAGATCGGAAGTAAATACTGTTTCTGATTGGTCCGCTGTGATGTCAATCAGTAGTTTTTAACCAATGAGCATCGATTAACACAGATCTCTGAAAAGTTGAAAGCTTCTTTAATGAAACATAGTACACATTTCTTACATTACATCTAAATGACCCTGTTGGCAATGCAGCTATATATATATATAACACTGCATTGTATGAAGTCCGGATCTGGCCATGTTGTATTATCTGATATCACCACTAGGAGACACCCTGGTTCAATGTGCACAGAAAACAATGGCAGAACAAGAGCGCAACCCACAGGTGAGTCTGAAACAAAGCAAGGGGCGAGTTTCACATCCCCAGGTAAAAATCATACACTTTAAATGTATAAATACATTTCATTCATGTATTCACTTACAAAGTCTAGCATTTAGAGCATTATCTATATGATTCAATATCAGTAGATGCCATGTTTCTTAGCTAGCTATTGATTAAACATAGGAAGCAGAGGAAAACAGATAGCCTACATGTTTCCAGCTGTGAGATGGAGCATAATATTTACACATGTGACTCAGAGTGTCTGTATAAGCATTTTATTTACCCACTTTTGCATCTGTGGGATGGTCCAGACCAAGGAGGTTGTTGTGAATTAAAGCTTGGGTACCTAACTTTTTATTTCTTAGTTCATGTTTGTCCCACCAGATTAGAACTCTGACAACTGCCAGCCCAATGATTGACATACCTGACCACAACATGTCCTCATCCTATTGGAAAACACAATACTTTCTATGCATACTTTTAAAAAGGAGCACTGTGAGTCGTCACTATTGACACTTTGGGCTGAGAGCTTATTGACTGAGTGAGAGTGGTTCTTTCTTTTTTAGTGTTCTCTCTGAAAATGCAGATCAAAAGATGTAACAGAGGCCAAACAATACATACATGAGAGAATAGGGCCAACAACTAGTTAGATGCATTTACTGTAGTTTCCTTGATTCTGTTGTTTGAAAATTCGTTTTGCTGGATGTATTGGCAGGCTGCAGAAGTTTAAATTTAGTTTTTTATTATTATGACCTTTTATCAGGTTCAGTGAATTGCAGTTCTTTTAGAGTGTCACTGATATTATGTTGAAAACCATAGCGCTACCAAACACCTGCAAAGAGAAAGTCCCATACTGTACACTAAATCAAAACTGTAAACAATATGAGCTTTTGAGTGTGGAGCAGCAGAGGGGAGTGACTCGGGAGCTGTCTGGTCTACTCCACACAAGCTCACAAGCTCATAATCTGGACAGTCGATGCAAATAAGCAAAAAAACGTCTCTGCCAGACATTTGCATTTAAACAAATTGATGAAGGTCATTTTGTGGAGCTGGGTGATGTACAGAGAGTGGTGTGTGTCCAGCCCTTTTGACAGCGTGGTTTAAACTCTGCCTCAGTATGGTGCTGATGTGGACTGGGACAAACTACGGCAAGTGCTAGAGAGACAAAGACGAGCACGCCGCATCATGGACACAGGTAAGACATGAACTCGCAATTTCTACACATTACTTTGTTTATTTTTAATTTGTAAAAAAATTATATTAAAAGTTGGTGTGAAAAAAAAAAAATACAATGACAATTCTAATTTTAACTGGTGACATTCATAAAACGGCATATGATGACCCAAAGTAATAAAATATAATATATTCTATCGATCGTGAAGCAGTATCAGAGCATTTCTCTATAATGCATGGCTGATTATTCGTAGTTGACCAATATTTCAGCTGGTTTGAATAAAGTGGGGGCTTATCTAAAAAGGTCCATTCAAAAAAACAGGGAGCTTTTACATACAGTTTTTTGCATGCAATTTCCTTCTGTACAATAAAGTTTGCATTTTTATGTTTCTGCTATTCTGGCATGTCCCCAAATCACGTCTGTACGGATTACTGATTTATTTATGATAACTTTGTGTTCAATTTATAATTAGCAATTATTTTTAATGTGATGTGAAATGGATGCAATAATAATAATAATGATAACGGTCATCATCATAGGAATAATATTAACAATAATAATAGTAATAATAGTCATTATCATTGGAATATAATCACAATAATAATAATATTTAAAAAGAATAGTAATACAAAATGATCATAATTGGAATAATATGCATTGTTTTCAACTTTTTGGGAAATATGTTTCACTAAATTGCCTCATTTTCTCCATCCATTTGCATCAACCAAACCAAATGTAATTTCCATGATATTTACACACCAATCCCAACAGGTCATTCACCTATATGCATAAAACTGTGAAGCATTCAAATGAACAGCATTTGTGGGACTGGAGGAAAATTTGTATGCAGTTGTGTTACATGCATTTGTATTTGATGTAAGAAAACAAAAACATGTTTGCAGACTTTTCCAAGAGAATTTACCAGGGAGTCCGGGTCAAACACACCGTGAAAGACCTGCTGGCCGAGAAGCGTTCTCGACAAAACAGTGGACCCCGATACTCGGTGAGCATCCCTCCTTTTGTCCTATTTTTTTCCCACGTCATTTTTCATTCAAACCACAGCTGACAATCTGTTAGAGGCACAATTATTAACTTTTTCTTTTCAAATCAGCTTCTCTGTTTACATTCGGCCTGTTGTGTTTGCTAATAACCCATGATTTAGGCATTGACCAGGCCGCACCTCTCTCCAGTCCCCGCGCCCAAACCGCCTGGGCGCGGGGACTGGAGTGTTTAGCTATCTCTAAATAGCTAAACACTGCTTATAGAGACTGCTTATAGAGACTGTCCTGGGATGACTCCACAAAAGCGCTTCGCACAAAGATGACAATAGCCATGGTGGTTGCGCTCCAAAAGTCCCTGAGGTTTGGGAAGGGCGGGGCAGTATGGTTTCAGGTACAGGATGGAAGCAGTGCGACCGTGCGAGAGGCCGCCTATGCAAAGTCCCATCCTCTCACACCTGCCCCGCGGACATTGTCTCGCGCCCCGTACGACTCTCCCATTGTTGTCGCGCACACAAACAAGCAAAAGCAGATTTACTTTAAAACGTGCACGAGCAAGACCTGCTTTTCATTCAGCCAGCCGCACTGAAAGAGACTATACATGGGGCTGTTTGCCTTGTGTGAGCATCGGCATGTCCACTCTATAGACACTCTGAGATCTCACCACAACCTAATGACAGGGTTTAGGGCCAGACAAAGGGAAAGTCTTCAAATTAAACAGCAAAAATATAAAGCCATAAAATGATCCTGCACAATCTGTTGTCGTGCTGTCACATACACAAGTGGGTCTCTCAAAGCCACCAAAACCATTGTACTCTTGCGAAATACTTAATAGCTTTAAGGCCTAATTGTATTGTGATACGTGTGTAAACAAAACTGTATCGTAGCCAAAATTATTATTGGCATGTTCATGTTCAATGCAATGGGATCATAAAAAAAGAGAATGCCCCAGGTAACAGATCCATTTAATATCAAACACAAAAAGTGGATTATAACTCTATAATGCTTGTTGTTGCTAACATGGGCTCTGATTGTGGACTTAATTGCGAAAGGCTTTTGCTTTTCATAACTAGCTTAGTTGTTTTCCATAGTTGTTTTCCCCAGCAGTTTATGCCTGTCACGATAACATATGTTGTTGCACCGTGTATTAATACAATGACAATGTAGGGCAGTAAATGATACTGTTATATTGAAACAACTTTTTTATCACTGGTGTATTACAACACAGCAGGCGAATCTTTTGAGAACCATTTTTATTTGGCTTAGTTATCTGAAAAGGCATAATAGGCTTCCTCTTTACGTGTTCTGTATTACAAAGAAAATCTATATCAGTATATTTCTATTTAGAACATACAGTAAGCACAAGACCATTTGTTAACTGAAACATGGACTTTTTACTACAACAACACAAGACACAGATAAAAAAGTATGTAGTTCGAAAGGGGTCACACACTTATTATACCAGTCCCCTATCAAAAAACAAAGCAAAGTATAAAATAAAGTCATACAATGGAATTCAGTGATCATAATATTGCATTGCTCTGTAAAGTACATAGAGAACCACAATCTACTACCACCAATGATATAAGACAAGATGCATATACACACAAAAGACAAAGGCCCAAAAACTCAAACTATCACCAATTGAAATTCTCTTCTCACTATTGAAAAGAAAATGTATAGACAATTCTTTTTTTAACCCAAAAACATATTGGTCCATCCATTCGTTTTTCAATTATATTTGTATTACTGTTATATATTTGTATTACTGTTATAACTTTGGAATGATCCCACAAAAGTAACTAAAGCCGTTAATACTTTTTTATATTCGATTTTTTTACTGAACTATTGAATTGGTTATTTGTATTTTATTCTGCCCAACTCATTTAAGCATTCAGTGATATGGAATGTGCAGCTGAATAAACTTGGATTGCATATCACTGAACGCATCTCTATAATCAGGAAAAAACCAAATCTATTTCAGATGCTGATGAGCGATGGTTGTGGCGTAGATATAAAGAAACCCTTGACAGTTGGCAAAACAAACAGGTTGTGCATCTTTCTCCGTTCGCCTCCATCATTCTGCAGCTGCTGTTGTTTTTGTGTTAAAGCTCTGAAAGCTCTGCAGTCGGGCGCAACGCTGGACACACACAAGCTACAAAACACTCAAAGACGATCCCAAGACGATATTCTATGTAGGAATATTAGTGTATAGTTTATTTATTGGGATTATTTATGCTTGAGGATAAAGTGTGTTCAGTCATGCAGCGATGTGACGTACAAGTGATGACTGACTTTCAATCCACAAAAATGTAACTTTGTTTTAAAATCTTTGCAACAAGTCTCCAGTGCTGAAACTGAAACGGATTTTATCACTAGTTTTCATATTCATCTGTATTTTGGCCTGTGACATCTTTTAGATCAGCTAAAAAATAGAATCCTCACTCAGCCCAAAAAGTCAAATAGTGAAACTCAAGGCTATTTTTGTATGCAAAGGATAACCTGTTATACAATACAATATCTATCTGTAGGCTCTATGCTATGAAATATGCCAAAAAATGCAAAATGCTGATGTAATGTTAATTACTAAAAAACAATTTAGTTTCCAATCAGAAAGCAGAATTGTCTTGAGTTGTGATTGTAGTAACATTTTCAAACTGAAAGGGATATATATATCAATCCAGGTGGTAAACAGCAGTTGCAAGGGAAAGCCCATCCATCCATTTTCTTCCCCTTAATCCATTTCTGGGTCGGGGGGGTGTACTGGGTGCTATGTGTACTGCACCCAGTACACAAAGCACCAGCCCCTCACTGATCCTCCTGCAGCTGGTGAGTCCACAGGAGCTGAGGGGGCTTCAGGCAAAGTGGGGTTAAGTGTCTTGCCCAAGGACACAACAACAGCAGTCATCAATGGGAGTCATGAAATAGGTCTTATGGTGGGCTCAAACCCACAACCTTCAGGCTAAAAGGCCAATGCTCTACCAACTGAGCCACTGTCGCCCTCAAGGGAAAGTAGCATGTGCAATTTTAGTTGTTTAGTTTTACAGGACAGATTGCTCCAATATTAACGCTTTGTGCTGAAATAACCAATGTAAGAAAATACATGTAAATACAGCGACATATCTTCCCACTAACATTTCCCTATAATTTTCTGTTATTGGTTTTCAAGTTTCAGAGCTCCACCTTTTACATATTTTACATAACATTTCTTAGAATAAGCTGGCACCTTAAGAGTGAATCACTTTTGTACACATGCAAACCCTTGATAGATATACCCCGAAGCCTGTACTTGTTTTATCCCTGCTTCAAACTATTCACTATCCAATCAGAAAGTTAAAGCTGGGGTACTTAACTCTAAGTATGTCCAGGTTCCTTGCTCCCATCATTCGTTTTCACATGCATTTGTTTTTGTGTCTCTGCCATTCTGGCCTTATATCAGCTTTTTCAGACATAAATGTATAATAGAGAGGACCGCTCTTATTCAGTCAATCAGCTCTCAGTATGTTTCCCAATGAGATGAAGACGGCATGTTGTGGTCTTATTGGCTCATTAAATATTACATTGAAAAGCCTCTTGGGAGAAACGCACATGTATTATTTCAGAAAGAAAAATCTCCAACTTTAAAGGGGCTCATGCTACCGATCGATTTGGGTGTGACTGGTTTATTTTCCGACAATAATAACCAACTAAACAGGCCTTGAATCTCCTTTTGATTTCCCACTTGTAATGTTTTTGGTTGGAGCTCATGCTAAAACACTTTTATCAAAATGCAAATTCTACCCTTCTAATGTCATAATAGTTCATTTTGAATAATCAGTCAAACATGTAAACGGAAAAACTGATCTGATTATTCACTCTCTCACAAATATTTTATATCTTAGTTCTGAATGTTTTTTTTTATTAAAGCATGTGATTATATATATAAATATATATATACAGTGTGTATATATATATATATATATATATATATATATATATATATATATATATATATATATATATACATGCACATAACAGACACAGAGAACAGGGTTACATCATCCACATAAACCATAGCTTCGACACGCTTATTTGACATAAAAAAGTATATGCTTTTGTAAATGAGACATTTTAATATATCCATTCACAATATTGGACATGAAATCCATTCATAACATATAAACAAATGTGCTGTGTTTTTGCAACAAACTGTAAACAAAACTTGAAATCTAAAAAATATAGTTTGAAAAGAATATTTAGGCAACATCTAAAAGGTCACATTTACAGAGAGAATGTACAAGAAAAATGATATATAAGATTTAAATGGTTAAACATAGTCAGGACTTGTATATACGTTAACCATATAATCAGATATACACAGAAAAGTATGTCTTTAGATTATGTCTTAATCTGTGTTTGTGTAATAGAACCAATTCTGGAAGGTTGAACTAAATGTAGTTGTGATAGAGACTTTCCAGAGTCTAGGAGCAGCACCAACATTTCCATACGCAGCCTTCAGAGAGCCACCGTGCAGAACTCGGGCCACATAAGGAAGTCTTGGCGCTGGCAAATCACATTCAAATTCAAGCCTCAACATTTGCATGCTTCCCAGTCAACATAGGCTTAATATCAACCCCTTTCATGTTAGCAATATGCAAATGAGTGGGCCGGCCTATACCCTGGCCCATGCCACCGCCACACAGACCCACTGTCCACGCTTTCATAACCAGTAACGTCCTGTTCCATCACGTGTGCCGCAAATGTTATAAGCCAGGACCTGATGTCTCAAATAAAACTCATTGAGATATTCATCTTATTGTAATGTTTTATCCTTAGACTGTTAAGACACACTGGAAAGTAGTTATTCTGTTAAAGACAAAGGGTCTATGTTTAATTATTGCTATGTACATGGATGGAGGTAATAGTTCTAGGGGGACAAATACTTTTATTAATCATTATTTTAGTGTGGAATTAGTCTAAGATTTTATTTTAGTTTTTGTCGAGTATTTTCATGTTTTTCCGAGTTTTAAACAAAGGCATGAAGTAATGAGAACAAAAGCTCAGAGACTTAATAATACAAATGGAGTGTTTTAAATTCTTTGTTCTACTTTTTCATTTGCAGAATTCAGGCGTTACGTTTCTTAGTTTTTTGTTTTCATTTGTTTGCATTTCAGTTAAAGGGACAGTATTTGATCACTTACATTTAAAATGAAATAATTTAATATTTATTTACATTTCAATTACAACAACATTATTTATACTCAGTTAATAGGTCAACATGTACAACCATGATTTGACCTGTTCAGAACAAAACTTTTTAAGTGTAGTTAGAAGTAAAAATACAATAACCATGATGGCCAAAATATTTGTCTTTACAATTTTATAGCCGTTTGGGTTGCCAGCTTGTTAGAGCTAAGATCAACAACATTTCACATATTTTATTTATATTTAAAATTCTACCACAAGCTAAGTTTTAAATGATAGCAGCTATAACAATGAGTAGTCATAGGTAATATAGTCAGTACCATTTCCAGCTAAACCCCAGCAGGTGATTTGCATCTTTTAATTCATGCTCAGGAAAAGCATGTGTCACAGGAAGGAAGATCATGGCAACAAAATTTTGATTGTAATTGTAACGACTTAATTAGACCACTAAGAGTACATATTACATACTGTCCCTTTAAGTGTATCTTGTTACCCTCCCATAGCATTAAAGGGGTTGTAATGTTTTATCTCCACAAATGTTTAATTTCTTAACACAGTCACCTTGTGTATGAATTGTGCTATACAAATAAACGTGCCTTGCCAAGCCTTGTTATGGCCTTGACACTTTTGAGAACTAACTTCTGAATACACAATCTTTGCCTGAAGCAATAGAATATTTAAGCTCTATCACAGGCTCTGTCATGTGCTCTGTCATGGGCTCTGTCATGGGCTCTGTCATGGGCTCTATCATAGGCTCTGTCATGTGCTCTGTCATGTGCTCTGTCATGGGCTCTGTCATGGGCTCTGTCATGGGCTCTATCATAGGCTCTGTCATGTGCTCTGTCATGTGCTCTGTCATGGGCTCTGTCATGGGCTCTATCATGGGCTCTGTCATGGGCTCTGTCATGGGCTCTGTCATGGGCTCTGTCATGGGCTCTATCATGGGCTCTATCATGGGCTCTGTCATGGGCTCTATCATGGGCTCTGTCATGGGCTCTATCATGGGCTCTATCATGGGCTCTATCATGGGCTCTGTCATGGGCTCTATCATGGGCTCTATCATGGGCTCTATCATGGGCTCTGTCATGGGCTCTATCATGGGCTCTATCATGGGCTCTGTCATGGGCTCTATCATGGGCTCTATCATGGGCTCTATCATGGGCTCTGTCATGTGCTCTGTCATGGGCTCTATCATGGGCTCTATCATGGGCTCTATATGGGCTCTATCATGGTCTCTGATGTTGTGCTTGGTGCTTCACAGGGGGGGTCCACTCCGCCTCCTTCCTTCATGCAGATGTCAGGTGAGATATCTCTGTCTGTGTGGCCTGCGTCTCTCTGTCTTATCTCTGCAGCCATTAGGGTCACTTAATTTCCACATGAGACCACTTAATGTTTTCAATCAGTGATATGCAGAAGCCCTTGTTTCTATGTAAACAGCAAAAAGACGTTGTCAGTACTGCTGGTCCACTCACTTTGGCTGTTCCCTCAGGGCCCCATGTGCTGCCCGGGTACTATGGCATGAGGCGCACCTTCGACTCGGACTTTTGTTCTTCCACAAAACAGTTCTCCCCAGATCTCTACTCCTCCAGCTTGGGGGGCAAAGCACTGGGCTGTGAGGCTCCCACCATGAGTAGCTACTCTTCCCTCATCGACAGCTACTACCCAGAAACCTTTGGGGACTACCGCACCGCCTCAGCCTTCTCAAGCACAGGGAGCTCTTTCCTGCCCCCTTCTGCCCTCTCCTCCCTGCTGCCCTCTTTCGGCAGCGACACCTCACACTTGTTTCTGGTATGTATCCAACTGAGCCATTATCATTTATTATTAAGTAATACATTTATATATTTTTTTATTATCAACCAAGCGTTGAAAGATGTAGCAAAACTGGGATAACAGATTTTCACATATAGCGCTACTTGCATCTGACAGCCCTGATTCCGTCTAGTCTCAGAAGCTAAGCAGGGCAGACACTTCACCCACATAGCCTACTGTGAGTCTGAAGGGGGTGTTGGCTCATACCAATTGCCTCACTTCTGCCAGCAGCAGCTGTGGCTACAATAGTACATTAGCCATTTACCAGTCGAAATGAAACTTCCATTATCATTGAAATGAACAACTAGCCAGATGTTGGCTTTATGGTTTATAGCAGGGGTCATCAATTATATTTGTCAGACGGCCAGAGTTTTACCAGACAGTCTCCTCGAGGGCCGGACCCCCAAAGAGAAAATGAAATCAGATTCAAATTCTTGACTTATTTGCTTTATGCTTAACACAAAAATAGTTTTGACTTGTTGAGATGTCTTCCTTTTGACCCACCTGAAATGGCACATAGCATTTCAAAAACAACTAAGATTAATAGATCCTTTATTCGTCCCACTGCGGGGAAATTTCAGATTTTGGACCTAGAACCAAAGACAAAAGTGTAATGAACACATTTCAGCTACATACAGACATATAATTTTAATTAGGCTCTTACTGTCTTAACTGACTTTGAGAACCAGCTATGGAGAGTGTTTATCAGGGCTGAAGTCGAACAACAACTGTCTTGCTCGACTAAAGGGATAAATCAAAAGAGTGTTTGATTTGGCTTGAATATGAAACTATAGACCACAAATTTCAGTCATTCAGCTTCATATCATCTCATTTTTTGCAGTTTTAACAAAGTCAACCAATATGATTAAATATTGTCATCCCAGACTCTAATGTCAAAGTATGAAACATTTTAAAATATGCAGGTTTGAAATCAAAATTTGTTAGTAAAAAATGTGTTTTGTACGCTCCTCAGAGAGACTCATGGGAGCAGCCGGTCTCTGAGCCCGTGTCTCAGGTGGACCCTCTGTGCGGGGACAGTCTCGCGTCCATGCCCAGCCCTGAGGCTCCAGGCAGCCCATCCCAGTACCGCTCCCCCAGCCGAGGCTCCTCCATGGCCTCCGTCAGCCAGCCGTACACCCTCCACACACTGGAAGATGCCCACTACCACCCCCTCACCGCCACCTCCAGCAGCAGCCCTTACGCCAGCGCCCCGTCCTACGCCTGCCCCCCCTACATCAGCACTCCAGAGCTCATGTCCAAGATGGTGAACGAGGACGGAGACGCGCACAGCCTGCCCCCCGCCAGCGAGAGCCATTCGTCCTGGGCCAAAGAAGACACGGTCAGCTCTTGGTCTCCGTATGAGATCAGGAGAGCCTACTGAGACCAAAGACTGCACTGTGGCGGGCTGAACAGCAGGGGCGCTGTTGTGGAGAAGCACAAACTCAAGACACTTTTTAAAAACTTTGAGGTTTAGGTCAAAGACATTTCTGTGTGACTGTATTAGCTGGTGTAGTCTGTTTCTTGATTAGTTTTATTTATTTAAAAGTCATTGCACAGATGGAAGCTCAGTCTGTCGTTTAAAGCTTAGATATCTAACTTTCAAACCAGAAAAATCTAACTTCCTATATTAAGTCCATCTAAAAAGTTCCTTATTCTCAAAACTATTTCTATCACATGCATGTATTTTTGCTTTTTTTTTATTGTTTCAAACTTTTTAACAGCAATCAATTTATCAATTTACAGCAATACAGCGTTTGTGAAAGGCAAAAAGATAACAATGAGATGAAAACGGCATCTGATTTGTTCACAAAATGTTTCTTTTATAAGATTATTTTTGTTGGGGTGATTTAAATCTATGTTTAATGAAGAAAAACATTACAGACCCCAACTTTAATTCTGTTTTTTAACAGTTTTTTTTTTTCTCAGCATGTTGACAGACACCTGGATTCAATGACTTTTTTATTATTGTATAAGTTCTATTGTCTGTAGCAATGATTTGTAAGCAATTGTATTTAAGGCTTGATATGTTTGAATAAAGTGACAATTGTTCTGCTTGTTGCTCAACATTTACTATTTAAGCTTCAGTCACATGTTTCCATTGCATTTGTCCTTTAGCTGGTTTGAGGAAACAAATCACAACTTACTTTATTGTTTATTGAACAGGACATTGCAAAAAAAAAAAAAATTGTACCAGATTTAGCTACTTCCTCTGTAGTCCCTGTAAGTAAACCTCTTACATTTGCCTTTTAGTTTTTGGTGGTTTAAAGTAAGTAAGTAAGTAATCTTTATTTATATACTGCCTTTCACAGACCAGAGTCACAAAGCGGTTTACAATTGTTATTTTTGGGCATCTGTCCTCTCACTCCACACAGAGATGGGAGCGGGGTCGCCGAACAGGAGGCGCATGCCAGACCTATTGTACATATTTTTTGTGGTAGGGGAAACCGAGTACCCGGAGGAAACCTACGCAAGAAGATTAAGATAGTGGTCATTAAAAGTATGTGAACCTACATTTAAATGAGGTCTGATTGTAAAGATTAACAAATGCATGTCTCGATACTTTTAAGACAAGACCATATCAGCCTCTTCCATAAGAGTGTTCCTAACTGTGCTGGAGATGTATGTGGGCCTATTTTTATATTATTTTTATTTTTTTATACCTTATTACCGGATGATCACCTATTTGGGCAATTATGCAACTGTGAAGAACTTTCTCTATTTACATACACAGGCGGACAGATGAACGTGAAAACTTCAAGATACAAGTTTGTGACTAGGTCTTCTCTATTCATATTATTGCATAAAATTAATCTGAATCTCTGTGTTTTTGAGAGATGTCTGGTTCTCAGTGAGAGGTTTCATGTTTGGATGATAAATATATAGAAAATGGAAACAAAATATACATGTAGATCCAATTTATGCAAACCTAAGTCCATGAAGTTTTGCGTGTGTATCAACTAAAATCACTATCAACGTTAAGTGAAATACAGTCCTTATTAAGATATTTTTCTTACCTCAGCCTCTCCTATATAGTGTATAATTGTCCTTTTTTGTGGTTGTATGAAAATACCAGATTATGTCCATTTTTGTCTGTTCTTTTTCAAATCAGATTGAGTCCTTCCCCTCTACTTGAGCTTTGTATCTATAACATTTATATTTTTAAATACATTGGTTTCCACTTTATTTACATGATGGAAATAAATAGATATGGAAATATGAAAAAAGTCAATAGCAACATTACTCAAAGTAATGTCGATGTACGTGTAACTGGCCACGAGAGGGCGACAAACACCAGATGAACACCAGGAGGAAGAGTCCCGCGTCAAGTGGACTCTTTATTTTTGGATTCGTTCGAGTTCGACAGAACACTGATGGAGTACATCCCCAGAAGGTTTTTGATACATATGTAAAAAAAAAAAAAAAAAAAAAAGAATAACAAAAGAAATGAAGAAAGAAAGAATGTAAAGAAGTTCTCTCGTTATTGTTGTTTTATTGGACCAAAGACACGCTACAATTTAGAAACACATCATCATTTTACCAAATTGCTTCTGCATCTCTTTATTGTCTAGTTGCGTTTCTATATTGCTGAAAAATTAGAATGCGACAGTGCACATGAGCATGAAACAACTGTATAGTTACAAATAGAATATACATGCACACTGCCTTTCACATGCACACTCGTGTTCTCACACTTTTTAAGGCAGTGACCCTCAAAAGGGTCACTGAGGTTAGAAAAGGGGACATCGCAGTTCACAAGAGTCACACGATTCCAGTCCATGTTCAAATGGAAACAATCTATAAGTTTACAATGTTGTATAATCTTCTGTCAAACATGACATAAATGTTTGAAAAGCAAAATAATAATAAATTGTATAGTATTTGAGTGATAAAAACGTTTGTGGCAGTGTTTGGGGGTCCCCAGTTTAAGAACCATGAACGAGAAATATCAGGTAAGATAAGATCCTTTATTCGTCCCACAGTGGGGAAATTCCAATGTTGCAGCGCATATAGAGGACAGTTGTATAGCACACAGGAAGCACACAAAAACATACAAAATAAGTAGTAGCTATGTTTCTATAGCTGTAAATATTATTCACATATGTCTCCATTATTTCTTAGGCCTAAAATAACTACCATATTAATTGTCAAAGTCTGGAGGTTAAATGATCAACTAACCCTGAGGAGGCCTACATAATATTTTATTCACATATTTTCTAATTTAGTACACCATTAGTAGTTGGAAACTACACTAGTGTAATGTGGAATACTTGCAAGAGTTTAACCATAAGAATCAAGGGTGAAATTTTATAATGCATTATAACATCTAACATACTTTATTTATTTTTCAATATAATGTATAATAATGGTTGAACCTTGTTGCTGAGTAGTCTCCTCCCTGAAGCTGTTGGAGCAGAGGGATGCCTAAGGTGGCTGCGGCCTTTTGCCACGCCCACCCATCCACTCATTTATCCGCTATTCTCTCAAATAAAGGCTTTACATTTTTTGAATATTATACAAGTAGCAAATATAGTCTCCGTTTCATGTCATAATGTTGAAAACAAGATACTGTACGCAAAAATCGCGCAAATCGCTACCTGCGCTCCACTACCTGTTGAAAGGGGCTGGTGGTGCCTTATCGGGAAAACATGCATAAAATTAAGAAAAGGCAACTTTAATTTACTTTAGGTACGAAATGTGGTCATTGTATATTAAAGTTAACCATATAAAACCCAAATGTGAAGTGATTTTTAAACAAAAATCGTCAAAACTCTGTTGCTTTTGAATATTCAAATTGAAAGTAACGCGCAATCAAATCATTGTCAAATCATTGAGTTCTAGGGGTTTTAAATAGTAGGCATGGAGGGAGAAAATCTCAAACTAATATGTCTCCAGCTATAATACAATATTGATGTATGCTGTAACGCTCTTTTAAGAATTTTGCCATTTAATTTTTTTATACTTTTGATGAATTTTCGTTCTTGGCCATTGTTGCTGAGGGAGTAAAGAGACATTGTGGAGTCCTGCAGGCCTTCAACAGGGAAATTCAACATTATTTCAGCAAACATGTCTGGTGAGTTTCCGATCTTTTTTCCATCATTGAGGGAATTTGGATGAATTTTAACCTGTTTGGGGGGAAAAGAGAAAGAAGAAAATGTAATAAAGGAATGGCAATTGTCAATCTCTATTTCAAACTCTAGTCACTGTGTGTCTAAAATAAGCAACTTCACCGATATCCCTGACTAAAGTGACATTATGACCAATAAAAAGACAAAACATGATCAGTTCTTGCAGAGGCATATAGATGTGTTCAATGATCCAAACTTGCCCGTGACATGTTGCAGACTGCGCGCCACGCGAGTCTCGACGGATATGTTTTATCATGATGCTTTGCGGGGGCATATTAGTGCAATTCTTGAAAGACAATTGTCAGAACACAACTTCTAAGACATTTTCCTTTCATTTGAAATGCATTATCGCAGCCTTCTTGCGTTCTTATTGGGGGGGAACTCTATGTGTACAGTATTTAACAGCGTCGTGCGTAAAAACGGAGTGGGATGTGTCTGCTGTAGAATTTGCGGTACTATTTGCCCATTTTAAGGCAAATCATGGAGTGTCTTTAGTGCATGAATATTAATCGAGGCAGATAATCTAATTCCAGTGTCACTTTGTGTTTAGGGAGCGGTTTGCCACTCCTAACTGCTTATACAGCACCGCTGAAAACTTAAAAGATGTTTGCCTACTTTGATAGCCCAAAGATTTAATGGAACAACCAATTATTTGTCAATGGGGAAAAGAAACACCGCGTTGCTATAGGTGCAGAGTGAAGTTTCATGTCCTAAAAAAGACATCTGGATTTGAATAAAGACTCGGATTGGATTACACCTTGGATTATACGCACTTTAGGCGTGAATTAAACAAAGCCCACTCCTGAAACTAAATTAGCCAATGCATTATCACACGACATGAATTCAAACTTTAGCGCGCTGATTATGTGAGCTCTTTTATGTTAAATCTATCCTACTTTAAACACTAGGTGCGCAACTATGTATAGCCTACAGGAACAAAAATTAAATCATTTTAGGTCAAGTTGGTAAGCAGTTTGTTGTGCAGATAACACGACAAACGACTCGACGACACATTTTTATCTATATTGACTTACTGTAATTCGCGGATTTTGCCTTTGTTCCCCTGCTCTTGTTGTCTGACTTGTTGGGTAGTGCTGCCTGCGGGTTGGGAAGGGTTTATCGGTGAGGGGAAGCTCCGCATCGGGAGAAGGGAAGGCAGACATCTGCGCCAAGCAGCCGGTAAACGCCTGCGTAAAGTCTATGCGCTTTTACGCAGTAAAATCAAAGGAAGAAATCACACGGCACAAACTTAAAATATGTGTTGGTCTTTATTCAGAGACACAAGGTGTGAAAGTCATTATTACAACAGTAGCGTAAGACCATGTCAAACATTGGGTTAATTCAGGTTAAGTGCTAAAACGTGCATGTTGTGCAAGTAACTCTGGCGGGATTAGATAAACAGGATTAAACAGGATTATGGCAATCAACAAGTGACATTATTTGCTGCTTCTGTGACCTGTTGTCTTGTTAACATGTTTATCATGCTTCCTTGATACAGACAAGTCCAAGGTTTACCAGGGAGTCCGCGTCAAGGATACAGTCAAAGAGCTGCTGCAGAAACACCGTGCCCGCGAGGCCAACGGAAAAAATGGCAAAACGGTAAAGACCCCACTGTCACACGGCACTCATCACTCCACACGCACATGCAATTATCCGCTGATGCAGTAAAAGATGATGCCCCAACAGAAAACGGCTCATTTTAACGATTAAAATACACACATCGCACACAATACAAACATTCATTATGCATAAATATTTTAGGAAAACACGTTATAAATTGTTTGCAACACTAAGTTGTTTTCTTTCCCGTGATTCCTGATGAACAGATCTTATCCCAGGCGTGTTTGGATCTGCAACAACTCTCTGCGTCCCTTTATCCAAGTAAGTTTTATATTTCTTACAGAAAAGAAGAAAAGAAGAAACAAAAAAGTAAAATTATGTTTTTAAAAAAGGACTTCAAAATTCCCAACTGGCCGCCAAGCTAAAACAAGAAAAAAGTATATGTAAAAAATTCTATTCAAATCAAATTGCCTTAATTAGTCTCTAGATGTCACAAAAGAATGGTATCTTGAGTCTCAACAGACTTTCAAAGGATAGACAAGTATAGTAGCATACCCCCCTCTTATAAGCTTCATTCAAATGTGTTGGCTGATGTGTTATGACATCACCCACTCAATGGTTTTCTCCATTTGTCTCTGCCTTACCTGACCTAATTAGGCAAGATCAGCAAATGAATATTGGTAGGCTGCTCACTGGGTAATTCTATCTCTTTCAGACTCTTTAACACCCCCTCCCCTTATGTAATTACTTCTGTAAGTCATCTTATTTGTTTTCAGGTATTATTTGCCTTTGTAGCAGTTTTAACATCAAGTTTTAAGATTTACCAGAAGATTGTGAAGGGTGAAAATAGTTATATAATGAAAAATACAGACTATTTTCTACATTCACTTTTCTGTGACAGACTTTATCATTATTAGCATAGTAAGCTTTGGCTTCCTTACAGCTCCTCCTGCTGCAATCCCTGACGTCAGCGACTTCCAATTTTCTTATTCTGCCTCAAATCCTGTCCACGAGAGCCAGATGCAGGACCTGAATTCCTACAACAACAACTTTCACTATCAGTTTTGGGACGCCATGTTGCCTGGAAACAGCGGCCCCAGCTCCCAGGTCCATCCGCACCTTCACCAGCATCAGCATCATCTACAGCTGCAGCACAGTGGACAGAATTATCCCTCCTCAGTCCTACCGTCGTGGAACCATGGATTGTCATCGGATGCAGACTACTATGGGCCTGGCATGGTAGGCAAAATGTTGCTGTAAAGTTGTATCATTACTGTTGTTATATTGTACTGTACTATTAAGACATGGTACTTTATCTACCCTTCATTATACCTTATCCAAACAACCCAGAATGCACCCTTCCAATTAGAAGGGGACAATATAGGCAAATTATCTGCAATTCCTATTATTACCACTCACATATTGACACCATTAGCCAAGCAAACCAATATTTATATTCACAAGTAATTAAAATAATGAATCTTGCTTTAGGGCCTGCAAATAAATTGCTCACCATCTCTCAAATCTCGAGTCCTCTGGCGACTGGGTTGGTATCTACAGATTGAAACATTGTCCCGTCTTGTTACAGACTTCTTGCTCACCGGCTGATTCTCTAAAGCTGTGCAGCCCTGAGGACCACAACAGCTATTCGCCCCACGATTCCTTCTCCTCCTCTTCCTCCACCTCTTCGTCATCATGCTACGATTCACCCAGCCGCTTGGAGCCGAGTCTCTGCAGCCCTTACACCCAGCACTTTTCCTCCCAGGACTCTTACAATGCGGGCCATTTGTGGACAGCCCAGCAGGAAAGCTTCTCCACCTCTGAATATGCACCTTATTACAATACAATGGACTATGCATACCCCTGCATTGATGAGAGCTACTACAAGAGAGACCTCACAGCTGAAATATACAATGCTTTATGATGCCAGCTGTATTGACCCTGTGTCTTGTAAAATTGTGTTTATATCATTTTCGGATGTGGTTAAAATTGACCTTTGATTGAGACCATTTCTTTCCATCACCTCTGAGATTTATTTTAATACTGTAAAAAATATACAAAAATAAAACAAAAAACATATACAACTGTCTGTGACATTATTTATTTGCCTTGAGAGGGAGCGACATAACACATAAAGGAGTTATTTATAGGGATTTTGGACAAAATCAAGCACATAGCATCGTGCAATACAGACAAGAAAACATCAAGGTTTATAAATACAATACCTATATCATGTTGTTACCCAGTTCAGCTTAAAGACTTCATTTGTGAAAACAATGTGATCTTGCAAAACATGCAAAACATTTCCCCACTGTGGGACGAATAAAGGAATTCTTATCTTATCTTAAAAACCACCCCCTTTTTATTGTGATGTAATAATGGTATACATCCTTATTACAAGGCTCACTTTTTATTATTATCTATGATAAAACATTAATGAAAAACTTCAAAATGAGTCAGACACCAAACTCCACAAAGCCTTTTCAAAATAGTAAGTGAAACATACATTGGTAGAATTAGGGATGTTATTAACAGTTATTTTGAAAATAGAATAGTTGGGCGAGTAGATTTTTCTCCAAATAAAGCTACAGTGGCATCTTCATAAAGACTAGATATCAAATAACTGGTTGTTTGATTTCTAAATAAAAAAAAAGAAAAAAAGAAAAAATTCCAAGCCATAATACCTCTTCTAAGCATGTTGCTGAATTAGATTACAAATATTTCGATAATTGTTTCTTAGTGATAAATCCTTTAACCTTTTATAGCCCTCTGTAGAATAGATTAGTATGAGATGAATGGTGATTTATAAGCAGTGAAAGGTAAGCAGAGCCTCTGGGCAGAGCGAGGTGGCTGCCCTCCTGTCTCTGGGAGGAGACTGCCACAAGCCTCCCAGGCCCAACGTCCTGAGGGCGGGAGTGTGGGACAGACAGCAGGTCTCAGATAAGAGAAAGGATCATCTGAGAATTACCTTGTGTTATTTGGAACATTGTAATCCATTTAGACTCCATCTCATCTCAGATCTACTTATAGCTGCAGGGACTCAAGACAACAAACGTATTGAGATTAACTTGTGTGATCTCAAACCACCAGCGCTCCAATACACAGTGTGAAGTTTATCTTAATTCCCACTGAGAGATCACTCATCAGAACAAACAGACGCGGTGCCATGTGGATTAGAGTAAGATTAGGCTGTGAACGGCAGGCTACAGTTACATGACAGACCACAACCACATCATAAGAAACATTTAGGAGGAGTAACAATTTTCAAAACAGACGATTAAACTATGGTTGTACCGATTATATAGCTCTATAAACATAATAAACAGTTTTTACCTGCCCACCACCACACCTTCTGTAAGTAATCTAGTGAACATTGTCCTGTAGATTTCTCCACATGGTTCTGTGCTCTGCTTATTCCAATCTGAAAAGTGACAATTTAAACATGCTATTTCCCCACAATATTGTATAAATCAGTACAGGACATAATTCGTAATGCAAAGTGAATGCAGCGGCTGCTCCACGCCTGAGTGTCAGATGCTAAAACAAGTCTGATCTAGTATTGAGCTGCACTTGACCTTTGTCTCTATCAAGCTGCCAAACCAAACATTAGAAACTGAACAAGGAGTAGCTCTTTGTGTTTCTACCGTCACACTTCACCTAATCCTGCTGTGAATGTGTGAGTGTATGTGTTGTATTTGTATTTAATAAATCCTATTGGCACAACCCCAATTTCACAAACAGTTTTGGAAATCCCCTGCCGGTGTTGAATCTTGCAACACTCTTCACACAGATTTACTCCAGGCCATTGAGGATTTACTTGTAGCAATGTGACTTTAAAATATGCTTCTGCTAATCTGCAGGTGGTATTGTTCGATGATCTCGCAGCAAGAGGCAGCATGAGAAAGAAAGTTTATACTGTTTTATGCTGGATTTGGAAAGGATTCCGAGCCACTTTAGAACAAGCATCAGTCAAGTGTCCTGCCACTGTCCTGTGAACACACAAATGACAGTATAAAAGCAAAATGTCAAAGTTAGTCATGTCATGTGATTTCACCTTGGAGAGACCCATGAGGGAAAATGCAGTTAGAAGTTTAGGATTAAGCATGTTTGGCGCCCTAGGCCCGGGAGAGATGCTGTTGAGCGCGGCGCTTGATCGCGCGCATAATCCCCCCCGGGGCCTAGCTACTGCAGAGACGGCAGAGGCAGTAGGCAAGTACGCTTCGATGAGAGAAGGAGGAGGTGGGGCGGCGGAGGCTTGCAGACTTCAGAAGGCCGGGAAGTGGGCATCTCCGGCTTTTAACTTGCTGTCCTGGTGGTTATTGGTTGATTAGATGTGGGCGTTGCTGGTATGATGAGTCGAGGATGAGCAGGCTTGTAGGTCTGGGCAGCAGCAGCCGGGTCTACCACAGTGAACTTTCGCGAAAAGCTCCATTTCACCTTGGAGAGACCCATGAGGAAAATGCAGTTAGAAGTTTAGGATTAAGCATGTTTGGCGCCCTAGGCCCGGGAGAGATGCTGTTGAGCGCGGCGCTTGATCACGCGCATAATCCCCCAAAAAGTGGGCCTGCGATGGGATAGGACGCACTGCGCAGGCCTGAGAGCATGAGTGCAAGGCTTCTCGCACGGTCGCTCAGCCAGGCTGCGTCTGCTGGGCATCTTTGAGCGCTGGGACGTGAGCGCTCGCATCACGATCAACCGGACGCTGCAGCAGAGTTATCTTTGAGCGCCGGGACGTGAGCGCTCGCATCACGATCAACCAGACGCTGCAGCAGAGTTATCTTTGAGCGCCGGGACGTGAGCGCTCGCATCACGATCAACCGGACGCTGCAGCAGAGTTATCTTTGCGCACTGGGAACGTGAGCGCTCGCATCACGTTCCGTCAGACGCTGCGGCGGCGGAGAGTGTTTGAGAAAAGTGTGTGCCGCCACCAGAATCTTATTGCTTTGTATTGCTTTGCTGGGAGCTTACGAGGAAGCCAGTAGACGTTGTGCAGCCAGGATAGCGGACGCGTCTGGCCTGATGCAGGCGGAGAAAGCCGAAGAGGACCAGCGCCCCAGCTGTTGCAGAGAGGTGTGGGGGAGCCCCAGCGAGGCCGCGCGCATGGCAGCGCCTATCCTGAAGGAGTGGGCTGTGTAGAGCTGGGGAGACAAATTGCAGAGGAGCAGTAGGGATCTTAGCTGAGCTCTGAACCAGGTTGCTGTCATGGGAAGGTTGTCTGGAGTGAGAATTAGAGGTCCGTTAAAATCTCCTTTTTGCAGCGGAGGCGAGTGTAACGCATCATGGACCTGTAGGGGCAGAGAGATGTGTCGGAGCGAGCTGTTACTATATTGCAGGCGCCTTTGATCTTTGAATGTTTGAGATGAAGGTTGAAATGGTCAGGGGACATTATGTTGGGTGAAGAAGGCGACCTTTGTTTAATGCTTCCACTACGTCGAGATTATCACACATGACAGAGATCCTCTTTCTCTGCCACGTGTGATTCCACGGCGCGCAGGCCACGACCGCTGGGAATATCTCGTGTAGGGCAGAGGAGATGCTCCGGTGGAAGTAGCGGCCACGGCCCGGCAAACCACGGGTCCTGGAAGAACCCCCAAAAACCCACGGAAGGGGCAGCATCCGTGTAGAAGCGGAGACCTGTAGGGGCAGAGACATATCGGAGAGGGCCATTGATGTTGCAGGCGCCCTTACGCTTAGGATCTTGGGTTGGAGAGTAGATAATCAGGATAGGAGGATGGTCGGGAAAGCCGTGTCTCGGACCGCGTTGAAGGTTGAGTGAGCAGTAGTGAAACGCTTATGCAGAGAAGCCATAGAAGGCGAGCAGGAAGATGCTGCGAGGAGGGCAGACATGTACTTGGAAGATGAGCCGGAGTTCAGTGCCGCTCAGAGCCGCTGCAGGATGGGCAGCAGGATGGGGAGCCTGCGATCAGAAGAGTGAAGAATACAGGTATGGATGCCTTTGATTAGGAGTCCGATTGACAGCTCAGCGCAGCTACTCGGCCGGCTGCATCTGATGGATCAGAAGATTAAGTAGAGAGATGAAGCACGACCGCCGAAGCGACCCTGGGAGCATAGGTACGAGTCCAGCGCAGCGCGGCATACTCAGCCGGGCTGCATCCATTAGAAGCAGGGTAAGCTTCTGAGAGAGTGGGTTGCAGCAGTAGCAGCAGCGGCAGCAGCAGTAACCTCAGATAACAACAGCAATAATCCTGTATCAAGCCGCGGCAGCAGCAGTAGCAGCAGCAGCAGGAGCAGCAGCGTCCTTAGAAAATAACAGTAATAATCCTGTATCAAAGCCACAGCAGTAGAATGTTGTTGTAGCTGTTCAGTGTTTCAGTAAAAGAGATGCAAGTGAAGAGAGATGGCAAAGTAAATGAAGCAGCAGCAGCAGTAGTAGTAGCAGCAGTAGCAGTATGAAGCAGCAGCAGTAGCAGTAGCAGCAGCAGCAGCAGCATCCTTAGAAAATAACAGTAATAATCCTGTATCAAAGCCACAGCAGTAGAATGTTGTTGTAGCTGTTCAGTGTTTCAGTAAAAGAGATGGAAGTGAAGAGAGATGGCAAAGTAAATGAAGCAGCAGCAGCAGTAGTAGTAGCAGCAGTAGCAGTATGAAGCAGCAGCAGTAGCAGTAGCAGCAGCAGCAGCAGCATCCTTAGAAAATAACAGTAATAATCCTGTATCAAAGCCACAGCAGTAGAATGTTGTTGTAGCTGTTCAGTGTTTCAGTAAAAGAGATGCAAGTGAAGAGAGATGGCAAAGTAAATGAAGCAGCAGCAGCAGTAGTAGTAGCAGCAGTAGCAGTATGAAGCAGCAGCAGCAGCAGCAGCAGTTGCAGCATCCGTAGATAATAACAGCAATAATCCTGTATCAAAGCCACCGCAGTAGAATATTGTTGAAGCTGTTTAGTGTTTCAGTAAAAGAGATGCGA